GCCAGGTGATCTCCGAACCAATCCTGTCCCCTCCACATGTGGAGGGAAAAGGGAGGCTTAGGAGATCCCTACGCTTCTCCCTCAGCCACTTCACTGGTATTTTAAACCAGCGGAGGATGAGTAAGAGCGCTACAGCCACAGACACTCATGACTTGAGTGGAGAATCTGGCCATTGCTAGAACTCCAAAATATCCATATTTACAAAAGGTCTCGTGGCCACTGCCGCTTCAACCCACGAAGGGGATTGTAGGGATGGGTGGTGCTTGATAGGGATTGTACAACGGGACCTGGGTGATGAGAAAGGCCCTGGTGAAATTTGGAAAATTTGGCTGGGACAAGATCAAGAACAAATGGGACACTAAGGTCATGGTGTAGGGCCCCACTGGCTACATAGAAGGGAGCATCATTAAAATTAAATGGAAAACTTTAAGTTATTCAACTTCAAAAAATAATATGCATATGTATGATAGAGAATCATTATACTTTATTTGTCGTAAGATTTTATTTATAGTTAACGTAATATTCTTAGATTGGTTTGTGGATTTTGTGTGATCAGATTTTTTTATTCAGTTAAAATTAAAATAACTCAAAAGTTCAAACATTAAGAACTCAATCAATAATTCTTAGATAGATATAATTGAATGATATGAGTAGGCAGTATATAAAAATTCCTAAGATAACAAAAAATATTCTACTATATAACTCAACAACATAATATCGGACTAAAAACATAAATAACAATAACAATGAATCAGATTATTGTTAAATATACATTTATTTATTTGTCTTTTTATCAAAGTTACAACTTAATTCATCTTTACGAATTTTTTTTTTTCTCAGTTTTATGAAGATCAATAAATCTTTATTTTCCACATTAAATAAATATAAGTTGATAAACTGAGAAATATAAGAAATCATTTCAATTTTATACGTTTTTATTATTTAAGATTTTAATAAATCATTTACTAAATTAGTTTATACTATTTCCCTTAACTATTACTAAAAATTGGCTTAAGCAGTTTTGAATTTTTGCTTATGTCGATTCAGTGACCTTAAGAAGGTTGCGCCTTCCATAAAATCATACGCTAACCCACTCGACCTTCCGGTCATGTGGGAAAAGTATTAATGCGCCTGACTGCTGATTTAAAATTTCTTATATAAAAAACCTAAATATTAAGGATTTGCAATATGTTTTTTTTAATTTAATTGTTCTTTCGATGGGGTTGTCGAACATCCAACTCCCGCGGTAGCATCCTATCACGTGTCTCTTCTTCCAACAGTTATTCAATCCTCTCACCCATGAATCCTACATATTGGCCTACATCTCTGAAAAAACGTCCCGATATCCTGGATATATTTATCACCTCCCAGATTTGCTCCTCCCAATCCATTATCAAATCCCTGGATGACCTTTCGTCAGATCATAGTCCAGTTTTGCTTTTACTACATTCGAACTTTACTCCTAAACCTAAACTTCCTAAACTAATTACAGGACGAGTGGACTGGGACAAATTTCGTCATGATCTGGAAGATAAACTGGACTTAAAAATTCCCCTCAAGACAAAACAACATATTGATAATGCCATAGAAAACCTTAATACAACTATAACAACGAGTATAAATAATAACACATTTGTTAATAATAAAAGCAATAATTTAAGACAAATTAACTTGCCACAGCATATTCGAATCTTATTAAGGGATAAACGCAGAGCAAGATCGAAGTGGCACAGGACTAGATATCCTTCAGACAAAACGTACTATACCGAATTGACTAACAAACTAAAATCAGAAATCAGAAAATATAAAACACAACAATTACTGAACCTAACTGGAAATATTACAACAACTGACAAATCACTATGGACTACAACCAAAAAACTTCTGAAGTTTAAAGATTTTAATCACCCACTTCTTACTGAATCCCAAACCTGGTCCAAATCCGACGAAGAAAAAGCCCAGTTATTCGGTCAACATCTGTTCCAAATTTTCAACCCACATCCTGATATTCTTAATCCAATCCACATCGAATGTATTGAATCAGAACTGGATACTCCTCTCCAAATGTCCCTACCACCTAAAGCATTTCATCCCACAGAAATATCCAACATCATTCAAAGATTACCCTCCTACAAAGCTCCTGGACATGACCTAATAACATCCCAGATCTTGAAACTTCTTCCTCGAAAAGCCATCCTATTCCTTACTTTCATATATAATGCTGTACTCCGATCAACATATTTCCCTGATCCTTGGAAAATATCTATTGTCAAAATGATCCACAAACCCAAAAAGCCACCAGAATATCCATCCTCTTACCGTCCCATCTCTCTGTTACCCATCATGGGAAAAATCCTGGAAAAACTAATCTTAAAACGCCTGTACCCAATCCTAGATTCTAATCACATAATACCAGATCACCAATTTGGATTCCGCTCCTCCCATTCCACTATACAGCAATGCCATCGTGTGGTAGACATAGTATCCTCTGCATTGGAGCGCGGTATGTACTGTACGGGAGCCTTTCTCGATGTTGAACAGGCGTTTGATAGAGTTTGGCACCCGGGACTGCTGTACAAACTCCGATAATTCCTACCATCTACCTACTTCCTCATTATCCGTTCCTACCTTACTGATAGATACTTTAAAGTAAATCACAACAATGTATATACATCCCGTTTTTCCCAGTCTGCAGGTGTTCCTCAAGACATCCCAACCCATCCCAACACTGTCATCACCACATATGCTGATGACTCATGTATCCTATCAGTCAATAACGACCCATCTATTGCATCCCAAACCCTTCAATCCCACATCACAAACCTGGAAGAATGGTGTCAGAAATGGAGAATTAAAATAAATTCCAATAAATCCCATCCAATTACCTTCACCCTTCGTCGTAAACCAATGACTTCCTGTCCTTCAGTATCCTTTAACAACATCTCACTTATTCCTGTTGAACAAATCCGTTACCTAGGACTCCATCTGAACAAACGTCTAACTTGGAATCCTCATACCAGACTGAAACGACAAGAAACCGCTCGACGTTTCCGACTACTTCAACACTTACTAGACAAACGCTCTAACCTTCCAATCAGTTATAAAAGGCTGATTTACATGACTATAATAAGGCCTATTTGGACTTACGGGGTTGAGCTATGGGGCTCCACCAAGGCTTCAAATTCCTCTCGCATACAGTCCTTGCAATCCAAAATCCTTCGTAAAATCCTCAATGCTCCTTACTTTGTTACAAATAAAATTATCCATAATGACCTTAATGTTCCGTATGTATCAGATTTGGCCCAATCCAGATATCTGTCCTTCCATAATAAACTTCATAACCATCCCAACCCTCTTGTCTCTAACCTTGCTTCCTATTCGATTCCTGATAACCCTCCGAGGCGTCTGAAAAGAAGATGGCCACGTGATCTTCTAATATAGACATATTATTAGAGTGCTACCAATGGGTAGTTTCTCAACATGTGTTCCATGTCTTTATACCAATGTGCAAATTTACTAGATGTATTTTTTTGTATTCAGTTGTAAATATCATTTAAAATAAATAAATAAAAAAAAAAAATTGTTCTTTCGAAATATTCTTCCCTCTGCGTTCGAAAATTAAATAAATGTTACCAAATCAAGCAAATCAAGAGTTTACATGAGTCAGTGAAATAATTTGTTGATTAGTAGAACTGGTTATTTTTTTATATTTTTGTTCCCGTCCTAGATAGAAAATAAAAATCAAGTTTGGATCCGGTTCTTTTTGGTCAATCTTTTAAACCCTGATTAAATGTTAAGTGATTAAATGAGTCTTCATAGAATAACAATTATATAAACATTGGTCTGTCTACATATAATAGTAATGCCAAGAAAAAAATAAATAAAATTGTAGAATAAAATACAAGCACATGTAAATAGGTAAATATACTTAAATTAAATATATACACACATACATATTGTGTTCTGGTTAATCTAAAATATGACCCCCAAATTCCTACAAATCATGGCGGTAGCCGAAAGTCCAGAGAAAAGCTATATATATATATATATATATATATATATATATATATATATATATATATATATATATATATATATATATATATATTCACGAAGATCGATGTGTTGATATTTTTACACGTTGATACATAAAACAATATATTGTAGTGGATATAGCAACAAATATAATAAAAATATTGTTACATCATGTAACTTACATGTATGTGTTAGATTGATAATTTAGGAAATGGAGAATTATGAATGAAGTAAATGGTGGAGTTTTACGAATGGATATGGGTAAGGAATCACATATCGAGGTAGCACCTGTGATAAAGGATTTTTTTAAAGGATGCAGTTCTATGAGAAAGAATATACAACTTTATAGATTGAGATCTTATATGCTGCTATAAGAGTAGACAGAGAGGAATGACTGAATGAAGAAAATAATGAATAGAGTAGACAGAGAGGAATGAGTGAATGAAGGAAATATGAATGAAGTAAATGATGGAGTTTTCAATGGTAAGGAATCACATATCGAGGTAGCCCCTGTGATAAAGGATTTTTTTTTAAGGATGCAGTTCTATGAAAAATAATGTACAAGTTCATAGATTAGGATCTTATGCTGCTATAATAATGGACAGATGAGAAAGGAGTGAAGTAGTATTAGGAAGCTTTTTCGTTTATAAGAATAGGAAAAGATAGATACATAGGAAATATTGATGCCGAAAAAAAAAGCATAAAGCAACTTTTTAATTCGTCATCCCTACTGGAAACTTGATATTAAAGTAGTAATGATTAACGCTGAGTATGATCTATTTGTCAAGGCCTTTTATCTATAAAACATAGTTGAACTTTGGTTTTATTTAATTGCAGGATTTGATTATCATCTATAGGTATTATTAGATTTTTTTTTTACATTAAGTATTCGATTTTAGTTATATTCAAAGGTATTTGGAAGTATAAATTAACTTATTTCTCTGCGTTTAACATCCAAATATCTTATGAACACGAGACCAAGTCTTGACCTAATTCCTAAGGATAGAACCAGCCGTGTAAGTGAGGACTGAATTAAACAGAGGCATTATACACCTCCTAACCCTAACCCCTGGAGACCGCCTGGAGCTAGTAAATTAATTTTCCAGCCTGGAATTAGTTATATAAGGGGGAGAGGGGAGAGGAGGCTTCTAATTCGGACGACGTGTCTCTAATAAAGCCCTCTGTCTCATTATATGTGGGCTTGGTCAGTTAGCAAACATGTATCCTCGCCAAAGCCTTTATTGGGTCTTATTGTTGTCGGCCTTTATTGGATCCGCTACGCATTTAGTTTCGTCGGGTTTAGTTCATTAGTGGAATTGTATTATTCTGAATGTGGCTCATTGAATTGATTGTGTTTCCCTTCATTAGTCGGAATGATGGAGTACTAATTTATATTTGTTCAAAGGTGGAAGTGTAACTCTTTTGATCCTTTGTATTTCTCTTTTGTTATATATTTCATTTGAAAGAGACTTGTCAAAATTAACAAAAAAATATAGATGCCAAAGAGGCATGGTTAATGCCTACTCTAATTAACTTATACTAAGCTAGTTAATATTGCTACATATAGCTTTTAATTAACTTAGGTTGTACAAACTATTAACGTTTGGAATTTAGAATTATCAAGCATATACGGAATACTAATTAACATTTCATTGGCGAATTAGTTTCATACATCACTGGAATCAAAGCGGTTCATTCTCCTGCTTTTCAGTAGAGGCTCATACATATAGAGTGCGATACGATTTTCTTTCAGAGCGATATGGCGATGTAGTTTTATTACTATCTATTGCACTACAGCAGTTATAAGAGTCCGATAATCCGAATCCGATACCGGCTGATGGATATCGTAAAGCTCAGATATATCGCGTTCTGTGTGCAGGAGCCTCAAGTTATATTATTGATATTTTGTATCAGTTGACAATTAATCGATATTGGCACAATATCCATAATTAAAACTATTTAAACATGAATTTATTTAATATATACATTTCACTCAAGTAGGTTAGAACTTCGCTTTATTAGCAATAATACAAACACTCAATTTGAACACAAAAGTCCTACTTCATTTCTTTCTCTACGCGAACATTTCAGCCCTTATGCCATTTTCAAGGTGAAAACCTATTTTAAGTTGAGCTGAATTGCCTATGTCAACATAACTTAATAGCTTCATGCTAATTTGCAGTTGCTCATGTGATTTTAATTTTCTATTAAAATAGGTTTTCTATCTTGAAAATGGCATAAGAGCTGAAATGTTGGTGTAGAGAAAGAAATGAAGTAGGAATTTTTAGTTCGAATTTAGTGTTTGTATTATTGCTGATAAAGCGAAGTTCTAACCTACTAGAGTGAAATATATACATATTAAATAAATTCATGTTTAAAGTAGAAGTAATTAAGTAGAACATTTGTGTTCAAATTGAGTTTTTTTATTATCATGAATTTATTTATTTTATTATCTTTTTTATTATTTCATCTTCTTTCTTAGTTAAAATCATCATTGATTCTTCTACATCGATTGTGATAAATTAATAAAAATATATGTTATTTATAATTATATAACGATTATTTACCGAAATCTTTTCCAGTAGAACCTAATTATTTTAAATCTGAATTAGAAACCTAAATGTTTATATTGAAAGAGTTTTTCAATATTTGTTTATACTGTTAAGTTTTCGATGCTTAAAGTAAAATATTTTATGTAAATATGATTTATCAGCTATAAAAATTAAATACTGTGGAAGCGTAACTTTATTTACTTATTTTTTACAACTTATTTGTACTTTATGAGCTAATAATAATTAACATTTTCTTATCGAATTATCTTTATATTGTACTGATGTTCATTCCCCAGAGTCTTAGTGAGTGTCCCATCATTAATATATGAATTGTAACGCAATCGTAATTCAAAAATATTCATTTAATATGATTATGAATTTCATCCTTTCGTTTTATTTTTCAATATTTTCTCTTGTATATTAAATAAAATTGTCTTATAACGCTAATTTTCTTTTTACATTTTTCAGTGCTGAGGGATGAGTTCCGATCGGTTCCTGCCAGCACTCGAGTAGCCGCTGGAGAGACAGCACTGCTGGAATGTGGCCCTCCAAAGGGTATTCCAGATCCCAGCCTCCTCTGGAGAAAGGATGGAGTGTTGTTAGATCTAGAAGAATCTGATAGGTAACTTATCTTTAATATTTACTTAAGGTAACTGCTTGTAACATTCAAAATGTGACCTGTCTTTGAGGTCCATAAAGTTTCTAGAATGGCTTAAATTACCAACGCATCTGAACATAAACAATGAAGTTATAATCTATGTTCTGTCTCTCTTGCAGAGTCCGGGTGGTGGACGGTGGTAACTTGATGATCCGGGAGGTGAAGCAGAGCGACGAGGGTAGATACCAATGCGTCGCCCAGAACATAGTTGGCATGAAGGAGACTGCTCCGGCCATGCTCACTGTCCACAGTAAGTTGCTAACTACGTATGCTTAAAATAGTGAATATAAAATAAAGGTTTGAGGTTAAGTTTCTACTCAGTTTGCTCAATACTGGTCTTAAGTTAGTTGTTCGTGATGCAGCACCTCTAGGGCATTTTCGTTTTAATCTGCGTTGAGAAAAGTAACAGCGGGAACAAATTTGATAAAAAGTGTGGACCAGGCTGATTGTGGGTTGACAAGTGAAATGTAAAATATTTGTCATGGATTTAAGTTTATAACATAGGGTGCTTTGAAATATAACATACCGCTTAAAAAAAAATTCGAAGAATTTTGGATTGTGTTGTTTGTATTGGGACATGATTTAGGATTAGATCCAGACAATTCAGATTTTTCATAGGAACAAACAGAAGCAATTATATCTACTTCTTATAAATTAACATGTTACCAACGCTGAGACTAACAAAAAAAAAATTAACCAAGGTATTAAAAGACAAGGTATAGAGTGCTTAATTTACAGACGCTCAATTACAAAAAGTACACAATTGTTTTCCTTCGACACAATTATTTTGTTATTGCTCATATAAATAGAATTTTGAAAAAAATATTAGGCTAAGAGAATTATTACCATTTGATGTTTGTTATTGTAATCATCGGTACGAAGTCGAATATGCTAGAATAACTGTTAGTTACAGCAATTCTGCTCTTTAAAATTTACCACAGAATACCAACATTTCCTCTTAGTTCCTAACATACAAGATAACTTATGTAATGCTTGTTTTTTTTCTTATATTATAAATAATTTCACCAGAAAATTATGAGTCTTAAACTCTTTTTGAGGTGTGAGTTGAAAAATTAAGTTAATAAAAAAAAATTTGTCATTCATCGTGGAGCCTGAGTTTGTAAACTTTACAAAGAGTCTGAATCCAAACAAAATAAACTCACACATTTACTTACTTAAACCCATTTTGGCTTACAACTTTATAATATACAAGACAGATAAACAGACCCAGATACAAAAATTAGAATTTTTCTTTTGAATTGAATACGTATTGTAAGTGAGCAATTTAACTTGTCACTTTAACTTACACATACCTAACTACTGTTAATGAGCCCACACCGACCCTCTGCAAACAAATGAAGATTACCCACATACCAGGAAGCGCCTCTGTATTTGGCTCAAAAGGAATTGGATGAAGGACCAACTTGACTGAAGATTGTTAACTACAAATCACGAGTTGGTAGTATTCTCCTTTATGCCTCTCATTTAATTTATTGCGTTCTTGTTTTTATACTCATTCTTTGACTGCTTTCTATTATTTTATTGAATCCCTTGAATGAAACAATAAAGTAGAAATAATAATAAAATGAAAATTAATGGCATTGATAAAAATTGTTTTGATTAAAATTTTTAACCTACTCGTAAAAAAATAACCTTAAAAAATAACCTACTCGTAGTAACAAGATGACCCATATTCATATCCTGCTTTATTTCTTTTTGTTTATTTTACTGTGGAATTATAAGTAATAAGCATTAAAATAAGTATTGAAATACTTAGCAATTATATCTACTTCTTATAAATGAACATGTTACCCACACTGAGACCAACGAAAGAAAAATTTACCAAGGTATTAAAAGACAAGGTATAGAGTGCTTAGTTGCTTAATTTACAGACGCTCAATTACGAGAAGTACACAATTGTTTTCCTTCGACACAATTATTTTGTTATTGCTCATATAAATAGAATTTTGAAAAACATATTAGGCTATGAGAATTATTCTCATTTGATGTTTGTTATTGTCATCGGTACAATGTTTTAATTTTACTATTTATTTTATTTTCATTTCTTATATAACTTTATATTTCTTTTTTATGTTTTTACATTTTATTCTAAGATTCCCAATGTAACACTTTTGTCACCCCTTTTTGATTATGCCTACTTCATCATTCCACACTATGTAACAGTTTTTATTATTTATCTCTTAGTTCTTAGTCATTATTCTAACAATTTCATTTTACTTTATATCTATCTATTTTATTTTTCTAATAATTTTTTTTTATTTTATTTTCTCATTTTTTATTATCTTTTTTTACCATCATTACTTATGTTTCTCATACCTTGTTATCTGGTTATTTTCTTAGCCCTGATGAAGGCCTGAACTTCAGGTCGAAACGTCGGCATATGTAAAAAATAAATATTATAATTTATTTTTTGCCTTCCTTTTTGACTGAGCACCCTAACTATTCTTCTCTTCTTTAAGTATTGAAATAGTGTTTTGTTAATTACATGCCTAGATATTTCTGTTTTAAAAGTTAATATTTAATTATAGTGACAAAAATCGAATCTATACATTAGAGGGCTGAAGGTTTCTTTTTCCAAGTTCCAAGTTCTGTAGAATTCTGCCATTTCTAGAATCAGATTAATTTTTAAGGTTAATGTTCCACCAAGATCGATCTATGCTCATGTGAATTTAGTAGGTACAGTTTTTATATTTATATTAGATAAGTGGAAGGAAAAAAAAAAAAAAACTTCCTCACCAGTTCCTTCAGTTACATTATAACCTATAGTTAAAGGTTTGTGGTTTGCTGAACTTTAAGGAGAACCAGTTTTTTAATTATAAAAAAATCATTTTGTTATTTTTCTATACTATGTAAAACGGTTATAGTTAAATGGGAAATCTTATATTTGGTACTCACTGTACATATTTCAGGTGTATCGATATCTGAGATATCCTAATTATATTAGTGGACTTAGATACTGCCTTGGATTGTCCTTATCGCAAGGAGAGTGCGGCACGTGTTATACTCCCACTTACCCCCCGGGCATTACCTGAACCTTAACTGCCTCTTGTGGCCCTCCATGGATTAGGCCTTGATTACGTCTCCTTTCCCTAGTGTCTGGCCCCAGCCCTTATCTCGGCTATAAGGATTGTACTCCGCCCATCCACGCAGATTTTTATAATTAAATCCAACTATCCGTACTTCCGTTCAATGCCTTAGAAATCGTAATTTCTCCTGGATTTATCTGGCCCCGTTTACTGCCATTGTGGTTGATGATACCTTAATGGATCTGATAAAATTTAGTGTTTATTTCCTGAAAATGATTGTAGATTACTTGTTTTCATTGGAAGTCGTACGTCAAAAGAAATAAGAGCCTAAGACTGAATAACTACGTTATTGTTCCTAACAATGTCCCTGTGTTTAAGTTATTTTTGAGAGAAATGATATCGAGATGTAATGGAAAATTGATATGTTTTGTTTATTTATCCTCAAAACGATTTAGTTCTTACTAACAAAACATTACATATAGATTTGAGGTATTGAGCTCTATACTTCTGAATCCTTTTTAGTAAACAGGAGACTTATTCTCAGATTATTGTTCAAAAAATAATTATTAAAGTTAAATATAACCGTTAACTTGGAAAAATACTATACACTTCACCACATTTTAACTAAATCACCTTCATGATTTCCGAAAAGTGCAGCAATAATAAAATCTATCGATTTTATTCGGAAAATTGAATATAACAGTAATCTTTATTTTGTTTATATTTTACTTTATTTGTTTTTACTTGGTGCTCATATATTAGAGAAATTTATTTCTATTTATTCCTTTTCTTCCTATTTTCTATGTTTCTTTATTTTTTTAGCTATGCAGCGAATATTTCGTTTCATTTCTTATATGTAACGCGAACTCGTAATTATTTTTTTTAATCGAATAATCTATATCAGAGTATTGGGCAACGGCGGTGCTGTGCACACGCGTTAGCCCTCTCGGCCACCCCGCCCCTTTAAAAACAAAATTTATTTATTCCTCCCTTCCTTGCCTTAAAAACCTAAACTATAATAAGTTATGTTTTTCACACAATCATGACTTATTCACAATTATTTTTTTATTTTTTAGCCTCTTAGCAGACTACAGTTTCCTCACTGAAAAAAAAAAAAAAAAAAAAAAAAGAAACCACTATTTAATAAATAATAATTTCATATTATTTAATGTGAGTTTTGTTAAAAATACGCTGAGATTCACATCTAGTTTTGTAAAGCTATTAAGTTGTTTCAGCTCAAAATATTACAAAACTTTATTTCTTTTGTTTCTGTTATCTGGGATGTATTGGATATTTGCTCTCGTTAAATAATTTTTTTAAGAGAAATACAAGAGGAAGCTTAAAAAAAAATTAAAATTAAATAAAATCGGTCCAACAAATACCTCAATACGCCATGGTTACGGATACGACTTAAGACCATCACAAAATAAGGACTGTAAAGATAAGCTATAAACATAATCTTATAATTCTTTCTTTTATGTGACTTTTATTTAAGGATAGGAATAGCGGCAGTAATTTATTTTGTAATAAAATTTTTATGTATCTATATAATAAGTAAGTGATAAGAAGATAGTTTCGAATATTCATTTCATTTTTTTAATTAAAATAACTAATTTATGACAATCTACTATGTAAAACGGAAATCAAAACCAGTATATTTCTAATATTCTTAAAATTGATATCCTGCCGAAATTGTATATGTTTCTAGTCTACGGTACTGGCTCATTTTTATAAAATTATTAACATTCGTCTAAAATTTCGTATGTGGGTTCATCTTATCGCAATCTACAATTTTTTTTTGTATACGAAAATTCTCATAAAATTAATTAGTTTAATAAAGTACTCAAAATATACATAAATACCCATTTAAATTCCAGTGGAATCTTAAGATAATTACACAAAATCGAGAAAAAAAGGTGCCCTACAAAATTATTGGTTTATTTGGCCTATATAACTTCGTTATTTTGCCATCTTGGGGGCGGAGGTCACGCTAAACGGCCTGATATTTTTGTTGGCCACTGTTTTGCTCGATTTTGTGATGAACTGTCCTAAGATACAAATGTATGTTCATGAGTTTTTAGTACTTCAATAAATTGTCATGTTCAGCTATTTCCAGGAGGTCACTCACAAAGTTTTAGATGTAGAAAAGAAAATAATTTTATTCTGGGACAAAGTCTCTTTAAAATAACAAGAATAGTACAAAATTATAATATTATATCTGGCCTAAATAAAAACAAACATAAAAAGTAAAAATAAAGAGAAATAAGTAAAGAAAATATATAAAATATCAACAAAAAAAATCTATATACAAAACATTTGAAACCATGCCAAGACACTTAAAACTATCTTCAGTGGTAAAACATAAATATACACTTTACAAAAAATAAATAAAATACTTACATTCTTCTTAGAAATAAACTCTGTGTTTCTGTAGAAAAAAAAGAAAAAGGAAGTCGAATCTGATAGTAAGTATTTAAGTGATTATATGTAAATATATCATTATGAATAAAATGTAATTTTGCATAAAAGGTTAGGGGGGGAGGGGGTTATCTGACTGTTTTTTGGACAGAAATTGGAATAGGAGAGTTTTAAATTTATATAGGGAGTGAGAATCCCGAATTTTGATAGGAAGGGAATTCTAGAAATTAACAGAGCGAGCAATAAAGGAGTTTTGGAACGAGGCAGATCTTTGAGAAGGAATGTAAAGGTCGGAAGGTCGAGATCTTGTGGAAAGGGAGGGGACTGAGGACTTGAATATGAGAAGGTTTTAGGCGTAAGAAGGACGATGATTTGATAGATAAATGTACCTGGGAATTATCGTCTTCGAATGGAGGGGAAGAGCCACTTTAACTCAGTGTTGTGGTGAGAGACATGGGAGTATCTCTAATGAATGTTAATAATTTGATAATAAATGGTCTGTACCGCTGACTGGATGGTAAGCCTGTAGGAGAAAGATAATTCTTTCTCCTCCAGGACGACGTCCTCACTTAGGATGGTGAGATGGTCTAGAGAGAGTATTGAGAGAGATGTAAATCCGAAGATGGAGGATAGAGAAGATCGAAACTGGATTGTAGAAGTGGCCCAGGCGCCCTTGTAGGGCTGTAGCGCTATGGAGTAAGTAATTACCGCTGACTAACCCTAAAATATTTAGAAAATATTTCATTATTTGTGGAAAAGATGTGCGTAGTTCATTTGTTATCATGTTGTACGAAATTTGGCTCATATATTTGAATACCTGACATTGTACTGAGTATAAAGTTTAAATAACATTGGATTCAGTAGTAAATCAATGATATCAACAACGTCCAACAATTCTAATTAGTCGACCCCAAAACCCGACGGAGAACTAGCCTCAATGTGTACCATTAGGATTTAAGATAGCTCTGGTCCTAACGACGCCCTGGGGGACGGGTTTGTGTGTTCTGAGTCGGTTCTGTTTGCCGAGGGTGGGGTCTTCGACTGTGAGCAACTGCGTTACTGCTTATTGTTTAATATTATTTATCCGAAAGAAATTAAGTAATTTTAATTGCAAATAAAAAGGCATATTCATCAATAATTCCATTAATAATAATCAGCTATTTTTATTCATGTGCAATCTAACCTACAGTCGCGGTTATAGAAATCGCATCACTCAGTACAAATGCCATATCAGCTCTGCCAACGTCTATAAGTTTAGATTGTCCTGAACAATTATACTCATTGTTTAAATCATTTTAAGCCGTCGTACCGAAATCAGTAAAAGTTTGGCTAATGAGAAATCAAACACTGTCGATCTCACATAGTGGGTACCACAAGGGAGCTGTTTTATCTCCCGTTCTTTCCTACTATATACTGCTGAAATAGTGGGAACTAAACACCATAAAGCTTATGTGACAGCATTTGCTGATGACATAAGCTGTCTCAAGTAGCAGTATGAATGCCAAAAAAGCTATGCAGCAGGCGGAAATAGCTTGTGAAAAAATTGCAGAACATGCATAAAAAATCTAACATAGATTCAGTCCGGAAAAGACGAAAGGAATTATATTTTCATACCAAAAAGGAAAAAAGAAAATGCCAAAGGAATTCAAAATTAACAACACCAGTATTAAATTATCGACTGACTTAACATATCTCGGTATTCACTTCGACAGACAATTAAATTTACTTGACATTTGACAAACAATTTAAAACAGTACGATCAATACATACTGACTCCAACATTAAATTCGGATCAACAAACGCCTAAAGCTTCTGAACTAATACAAGTATAATCGGCCGGCTCGCTGTATGGTGCACCCTGTTCGAACACATCAGCAAAACAACTCTGAAAAGATCCAAAATGGAATACATAGAAAAATTGTTTAGAAAGACCACTGTCTGCAGAGAACGAAGACAGTGGATATACAAAACAGCACTAACTTAACAACAATAAAAGAATTTTTACGCAAACCGAAAAAAATCATTTTACAGATAAATCCAACAATGCAAACCCTCATTTTAACAATTTGTTACCAGCTAATATTCCAAAACGTTGGCAACAAATCACGTGTTTATCGATGTTTTTAATTTAGTGTGAAGCCCTAAAGGATAAGGTCATACTCAAGCCAGAGGTGGCCCCCCTCACCTTTATAGAACAGATGGAAAACGAAATACTTAGAAACGAACAAAAATCTAAAAATAAACCTTACAATGCCTTTTAAGCAGAAACGTTGTATTATTAAGACAATAAAAGGATTAAAGACAAAAATAAGTAGAAAGGGGCTATTGGGAAAAAAAAAAAAAAAAAGCTTAATTCCTTTACTTCATTATTTTCTGACTAGGACAGTTTTTGATACAGGTCATTATTACAGCTTTTATCCTGGTACTAGTTAAAACCGAACTGAGAAACATTGGTTAACTTTTCTTGTAACCTTAATTAGTAAAGAAAAGCATTCAATGAAATAGACGTCATCGACATAAGAATCAAAAGAAATAGGTGATGGAATTTCTATAACAGCGACTGTAAATGGTTTAATTAATCATTTTATATTTTTATTTTAAATAAACAATTACGATTATTATT